TTCTCTTGTGCTTCTTTTGAGGGAAAGAATGCAAAACGTCCGGAACGCTTACTCACCTCTGTGCACAAACGCCAAGAACACGAGAAGAACTCCTAAGAAGCAGGGCAGTTGCGTACTCCTCGAAACCACCATCGTTTCCTTGCGCGTCCGACGAAGCACGGAAGAGCGATCCCCGGCGGCTACCGATGCACTGCCCACCGGAGAAACTCGCGCAGCGACTCGCCGTGGCACCACCACAACACCGGTGAATATCTCTATCGAAAATCTCCGTTAGTATTTTTTTTTTTTACCCTCTCTTTTAGATTTTCTTTTTTTTCCTTCTTTTTTTTTTTTTTTACAAAAAGTTAATAGCGAAGCGTGCCACTTTACGGCGCCCAGCAAACGCCTACTCTGCCGAGCACGTCGCCGGCTTAGACATGATGATTCGCTTTTCCTCTTCGGGCTACCGGGGCACCCAGTGGACTTCTCGGCGTGTCCTTCTTGAGCGCGTAAACTAGCCGAGAGCTGCGAATCGATACGGCGGCCGCGCGACGCCGTCGTCACCGCGCATGCGCTGACGAGGAGAGTCGCCCGTTGCCCGGATGTTGATCGATTAATCCTGCGCGAAAACCTGGGATATTGGGGCTAGGCGCAACTCTGGCGAGGACGTAGCGCCGAGCGCGCTCCGACCGGCGTTCTCCGTGCGACAGAGACGTAGCGGCATACAGGGCTCCAAAGCCAAGCGAGCGGCCGAGCCTCCGAGCGCCGACGCCGAGCTGGTTGAGTGGCAGGAGTACCGACATACACGGTCTATTGATAGAGTCGCGACAACTAGGCCAACCCCTCATTCTGACGCGCGTATCGTGCAAACTTGCTGCGCTTGTTTTCTTCTTATTCAACAATGCAAATGGTACACTGTGTGGTCTCCCTTCTGGTTATCACCGTTTATTGCCTTTCAGGCAGTTGGTGTTCGTATTCAACTTTTAATGTGTTTGTAACAAAATGGCAGATCACCCGGTCACCGACCTGTGCGTAAACGCTTGTATCAAGCGTTTGTTGATGTGACTTTATGTGCTCTGCTCGCGGTCGGACCTCAGTACAATGGCAATGGCTGTCCTTTTCATGTCCAAGTATTGCGGGAAGAGCCTGGAGCCTGTTGTCATTGCAGAAATCTCGGCGGCGTGCAACTGGTGCTCGGATGTACGCGCGCGCGGCCGTCGTCTGCTTGTTGTCGGCTGCTTTAAAACATCGTTTGCTCAATAAAAATAGCATAATTACACACTATAGACCTAGCACACACAATGGTCAAAGGGTTCAAGAAGCTTTCTGCTCCTCGGACTTTAGTGTAAGGTTTACACTTCACAAAAGCAAAACATGTTTGACAAAAAAAAAAAAAAAAATGGCACTTTGGAAGGCCATTTTTCCGCAGCACTTTGGACAGTTTAGACGCAGGTGACCATATCTCCGCCAATAATAAGGAAGCGGCAAAAAGAACCAGAAAGCGAAACTGCGTTTCAGGGTCGCTACTGCGTTCAGCGCCGCAGGCGGCCCTCGCGGCACGCGCACGAGGTAAATAGAGTGTTGAGGGAGTAAGTGGGTTTATACGTTTATAACACGACGTTGTGCGTATGGTGCTGTTTAGAAAACCTTTTGCTGCTCGAGGTGGGAAAGGACGTGCGCGACTGTTTTAGATTACATCTACAAAAGGCACTTCTCCATCTTTCCGAGGAAATGTACCGAGATAGCGTGGCGAGCTTATAAAGGTTGGCGTACGCTCTCCCCTGTAGCTTTGGCTGCACTGCACGGTTCTAGTGATACGGAGTATAGTTGATTGCAGCAGTGGCGTAGCTATGCCTTCTGGCACTCGGGGCCCGTATGCTCCGTCTCACTGTGCAGTACGGCCAAAGCTACAGGGGAGAGAGCGCATGCCAACCTGTTCAAGAGGAGGGAAAGGAGGAACGGCAGAGAAGGGCTGGGATTCCCCAGTTCCTCGTTTCACTTAATTTTCTTGAGAAGGTCGGGATACTCTTTCCCCTGTAGCTTTGGCTGTACTGCACGGTTTTAGTGAGACAGAGTATAAGTTTTTCGTTGCACGCCCCCCCCCCCCCCCCCCTCCCCATTCACTTCCCGAGACTCAAAAAGGTAGGGCGGGGGAAAGGAAGGCTGGGGAGGAGGAAGCAGACGAAACGGTGGAGAGGGGGATGGTTTCCCCATCTCCTCTCCAGCATTTCTTCTGCTTCTCCTTCCCCAGCCTTCCTTGCCCTCGCCCTACCTTTTTGAGCTGTTAACTTACTGTTGTAAAGCGCTGGGTTAGGCGCTTTAGTAAAGCGCCTACCCCAGCGCTGACTGGGATGCCTGGTACCGGGGGCCCAGAACCTTCTGCCCGCCCCCTCCCCCCCCCCCCCCCCCCCCCGCCCCCCAAACCACCACCACCCTATTTGCAAAGCGCTCCATTCTTTCAATTTTAGCAGGGCGAACGCTGGATAGGACGCTAGTGGAGTCCTCCGCTTCAGCGCTTGCACTGCTAAATTCGAAATAATGCGGGTCTTTGCGGTGCGCCAGAGTGCTCGAGCGCGTGAAGATTTTTGTGTCATGCAGTTCGTCTCGCATCAGCACCCTTACGATAGTGTTGGTAGGCGGAATCATTTACACTATTTAAAGGCGCGATAACATAATTGCGAGGCATCATAACTGTCGTAGTCTCGGGGGGAAAAAAAAGAACGAAAATTATTGTTGAATATTTGAGCATGTTTGTGGTTTCGCGAGATTCCACCAAAGTTGGATTCCACCTCACCTTTACCTTGCTGCCCTTGTGACTGCAAGCATCGTTTGGGGCAGCATGCTTGCGCTCGTAGCTTCGACTCTGCCCGCACCTAAAGTTGAACAAATTCTAGGGGGAAGTGTTCTGTCCTTACATGGAGCAGCTCGAGATGATGATCATGACGTTAATTGGAAGGGTCCCCATAAAGGTTTGGCTCCAACCACGACAGTAATGCGACTTCTCCGAGTCGATTTGGAGTGTCTTTTGGACGACGAAAACAATCCCTGGAGAAGGGGAACAAGGGGGACAAAGGACAAACACAAATCTCCGAAAAAAGCTAGGTGACTGGTGCGCGACCGAAAAAAATCTGCCTGGTCGTAGTATCGAACTAGGTATCTCTCCATTTCCAGTGGAGCGCTCCACCAACTGAGCTAACCAGGAGTTAGACGTCAGCAGAGCAAGTAGAGCAAAGCAGACAAAAGCTCTGTTCGGAGCAGCAGAAAACTTTTTTAGAGGGCAAGCATACACTTCATTCCCCTGTGAACACTATCTTAAGATTCATCGGTTGGCCTGTACAATTAAAAAAACAAAAAAAAAACAAGCTTTGCCCTCTCACTTCTGTCAAACAACTCCTTGCATCTGACCTGATTTCTCGAACATTCAAGATACAAAGAAGGTCGTAACAAAATAGCCATTTTTATGCTTAAGAAAGCTGATTCCAACAGCTGCATTTGAAACACGTGATAACCAACGAAGGGCATAACATGAATACCTGCGAATGATTACTTAAAGTATGGAATAGAACCAAATCATGTTTCACTAAAATAATATTTGAATAATTTTGAGTACCGGATCAAACGTTTTAGTCAAGCTTTCGAAGGTTGCAATTAAGTGCCAATTCTTTAGTCAGATTAAGGAAACAAATATTTTGTCATTTAGGTAAGTATATCACTGGTCATATAGAGTTTTATCACGACGTAAAACCGGCATTGGGGCAATAATTTTGGCTACTTAAAAAAATCCAACTCAGCTCGTCAAGATTGTTTCCAAGCTTCTATTATAAAGCTAAAGGTAATTTAGTTTTAATTCAGACTTTATTGACTGTGTCGAGAAAGGCTTGGAGGCCTATCTAGGTGGTAACGAAACGCGCGATTTCGCACAAAAATTCGACTTATGGTGCACGAGGGCGACACCTAATCAAGGTTATTAATAAATAATCTCCCTGTGCCCAACTATCCTTACATCTCATAGTAAAAAAAAAAAAAAAAATTAAGACGAATTGTGCAAGCAACTTCTCAGGGTATTGCAGTCTATCATATGCATAATACCTGCGGGTTTACTTTGCTAATTGCTCTGCAAGGCAGGGTTGTCACATCGACATTCAACAAGTTCTTTTTCTATTCAGACACTCGACGCGTCCGCTCTGAAAGAGTGCGTTTCCCCCAGCACCCGAGTGTACTGTGGCAAAGCGACATACGTGCGAGTTGTTTCTCCGCAGTGCATTAGTGCATGGTAAGAAGTGCACTTAGCGGAGTTAGATTACTCAACTGAACAGGCCCCGGGCAATGGGGTACTGCGAAAACTCTGAGGAGTATCTGTCATTGATCTACAGGGACGTCACTAGGGGGGCTTACTGCCCCGGGTGCAGCGCTCAGGGGGTTGCAGCTGGGCAGTGAAAGGGGAGGGGGGGGGGGGGGGTGGAGAGAGAGGTGTCGCGGCGGACCACCGCCCAGGGTGCCGCTGACCCTAGTGACGCCACTGTTGTTCTATCCGAAGGTTGTATCGAACAGTATGTTAAAAGTTTTGAAAAATCGCACATGAATACTGTGAAAACTCATCTCTGTATCGAAGCCCGAGCTGAACAGTTTCCATATTGTTAAAGGGCTTTTGGGTGAAATGCTGGTGCAAAGTCGTCACATTCTGGTACAATGTAGCAGGGCAAGTGCTTTGGCAGAAATGGCACAGCGATCACATCATCGCTGCGAGCTATGTACACTGGACGGTGCAGTTAAATCGAACACGACGTCGGCACATTTACATATTTAGCTCATTTAGGATACTGGAAGACTACCGTCTATATTGGTGCCCAGAATAAGCTAGCCCCTTACTGGCAGGAAAAATTGTTTGCTTGTTTGAAATGAACTGAATCAGGTACATTTTTTTTTTTGTAATTGTTCTTAATTAAAATGTTGCTACAGTACACCTAACACACAATGACTTTTATCAAAATTGACACTGAAAGGAGACAAAAGCAATTTGGTAAATGTGTAAAAAAATAATTTATTTTTTCTGTACATTGGACGGATTATGAAAATGTGTGGATTAAAGCAGTTACACATCGCATACAATTGCAATCTCATTTCAAGAATGCCCCATAAAAGGGATAACAAACATGCACACCGGTGTTTGCTAAAAGCATGTTTCCCAGGCCATGTTTCTAACCTAACCATATATTTTTATGTTGACAACCTGAATTCCCCTTTTCAACATGGCCTCTTTCCAGCTCTTTCTCCCCCTGGGCTGCATGCAGCCGTGATTGTGCAAAGGTGCCGGCCAGTCATGGTGTTGTATGTCCCTTCATGCAATACCGTAATTGGCTGGCAATGTTTCCCCATCTCTCTCCCCCCCTTGGCTGCATGCTGCCATCATTGAGCAAAGGTGTTGAACAATAAATCCCACAAGCTTTCACTATACAAGGGTATTTTTTAACCATTGCAAATTGACAAAATTGTCCAAACAAGAGTGTATAAAAACGCCACAAGGGTAGTTCTGTCTTCCTGTCTATGAAAATTCCTAGGACGGGCACAATCAAACCTTATGAAATGAGATGGACGGAAACAAACATCATGCCCGAGTTGGAGCAAAATGTTTTCCCACCTTGCAACAAACCATGGGCTGGTATCAGATGTATTGATCCCTAACTGGACCCACTGAACATTGAAACAGAAATGGGTCCATTAGCACTGCCTCAATTTGATAAGGAAGAGATTCAACTCCTCCAACAGCCATGTAGGTAGTTATGGCAAGGTGCAAAGAAAAATGAAACTCATACTTTCAAAGGACAGGGTTGAATAAACAAACATAAACCAACTTTGATAACATATACAATAATAGTGGCTCATTAGCAGCCCAGTTGTACCTAACTCCACCTGTTGACAACACAAAACTTGTTTTTTGCCGGTTGGGAACACTGACGCATCGCAAATCTTTCCACTAAGGCGCTTTTATCATGCCAGCAAGCATGGTTGGTTACAAACGTTTACCTAATGGGACTTGACCACCAACGGACTTCGTACTAACTCCTCAAGAGTTGTTCCAGAAAATAGCGGTTCTTCCAATTCTAAGTCTAACAACCTTCCGTAGAAAATGGGCCCACACTTGACAGTAAACAGCGTGCCCTTTCCAAAAGTCTAATCGGTCGCATTGACGTTCGGGAGGTCAGTCCGCTACAAAATGTGGCAGGTTAACTCGACGGGTGCAGCACGACCACACACCCAGCATCGGGGAGCAGTGCATTTCACTCGAAGACGATGGCCAAGTTGCGGGAGTGCGCACTCACGCAGCTGAAGCACGATTCCTACTGAGAACTTTCGAGTCTTCGAAAAACATTCCAACAGAAGGACCTCCCAACGTACTTATCGGTGCCCGTTAAACGACGAGGAGGTGGCGGAGGACCCCGACGGTTGCGCAGAAGACGAGAACTAGGTGGACGAGTCCCGCCTTCGGCGCCCCGTTGCAGTTGTCTTCGGCGCAGTAACATTCCTCCCAATAGACGCCATTCTCGTGGTAGCCCCAGTCACAGCCCCAGTTGACACCACGCTCGGAGATCTGGGCACATCGGCGCTCCACACTGCGCCACCTTCCGTCCCCTAGAATGCCGCAGAAAAGATGGCGTTACAGGTTATAGGAGGTACCGGACACCTTCAGCTACGAAAGCAACTTTGCTGAGAGGCAATACCAGAGATGGAAGTGGCATATGACATTTTGTAGCAAGTTTTGTAGCAGGCAAAATATAGGTTTGGAGCAGCCAATGAAGTTTTCGGAGCAGATGCCAACATCTGTTGGTACGTCACTTGAAAATTAAAACAAGATTGTGTCGCTAAATAAGCTAATATCTGATAATGACTGAGGGTTCATCTTTGGTACTGAATTCTATTACTCATTACCTTTTTCAGTAATAATAAACAGGATGCCAAAAAACATACAGCCATTTTAGAGATAAAGCTCAGGTCAGAGTAGATTCCATTTACAATGGCTGTCAAAAACAAATTGTTGAAAATGAAGCAAAACGCAACACTTAAGCTGAGATAAAGCCTCTCTCTCCCTTTCCCTTCTACACTAGAAAGTTAATTTAGCATTTAAATATAATTCCTGTCTAATGCCGGCAAAAATTAGCATGTGCGCTAAAACGGCTATCAATAAAAATACGTCCCCCCAAGTTTTATGAACGCCGAACTCAAGATTCTGATATTATAAACTGCAAAAAACCACCACCCGTGAAAACCTTTAGTGCTGTTTCAAAAGTGACCCTGCACTTTAGCAGTGTTCAAATCAGAGTTGTGCCAAAGTTTGCCGCCCTTCGATGAACTGCAGCACGGGAACTACCTTGACTACTGTATTATTTAAAGGGACCATGAAATAAATTTTGGGCTGGGATAAATTTGGATTTTACTAATTGCATATTGTTTAGTGTGCCAAACGAAACCTAGTAAACGAAGGTAGAAACCCTGGTGTACTAAAATTTCAATTTATAGCAGACGAGTTTATACTTTTTTTCCTTTAAAAGCTCTGCACCATTTCACAGTGATGCATCCACAGTGCCCAAGCACTGGACATGAGCAATGCATCACTCAGACCCATACGCACGTCAATGAATAATTGGATTCGCATTCGTTGCCAATGCGTCCAATGACGGCACTTATCATCACTTATGCGAATGACAAGTTCCACGGTGTGCTCAAAAAGCAAGGTGCAAGTTTGGAGTCATCGCATTTGGTGTCCAAGCATGTCACAACCACGTGATTTGCCATTTCACTTTTGCATTGAGGGTTAAAGAGGCGATGCAACAATTTTTGTACTTTGCGCAAATACCGCTTAGAACGGATCCCTGACATTAATGACCTATGAAACACGCGTTTGTTTTTCACCCCACACAATAGAAGTCCCAGAAAAAAATTGAAAAACGAGCAGCGCTCACCCCCTCAACTCGCAGCCAGAACAAGCGGCCACATGATCTGGAGCCGATTATATGCCGCCAATGTTGATCATAGCCACGCGCTGGGGTTGGCAAAGCACAGGGCGCGCGCCGAGTTCCAGATATTGTTATGGCTGGGCTATTGTCGTCGTTGCAGCGATTGGACACGGGCCACTACCCGAATGCTTCTCGAGCTAGTAATTATCACAAGCCCAAATCGAGTGCCCACGCAATGCTCAGGTCCAATCTATGAACAGCATTCAAACATCGTCATATGGGTGTACTGCGATCCCCACGTTGCGTCATTAAATTTTTGCAAAGGAGAGATTGAATGAAAATGATCGCTTTTGTCCTTGAAATTACACCGCAACAAAGGAGTTTCTTGGCCAGCGAGTTGCGTGCGAGTATCCTTGACTCCCACTAGTGCCAGCAAGCTCATGTATAGTGAAAAACATTCCAGCTGAATATCGTTGCACAGCTCCTTTAAAGCTACAGTCAAGGTCAAAGATGGTTGACCTGTTATAGTACCGAGCACAATTTCAGAGTCAATCGCGCTAACCCATACGCTCCCCCATGTCGGCCGCTGCTCATAGCACTCTAGTACAAAGTGGTTAAGCTCGACGCGCGTGCGCTGGTGCGAGGTTGTGAAGGTGGACGCGAGCGGAGCAAGCGCCACAGTACACTGTAACCGTTGTGGGGAGGCATGTGGCAGACAAGATATTGAAGCGATATCATTAGGAGTAAAAGACCCTGCCTCTCTCTGTCTTATAGCAGTAGCCGCCATCCCACTATTTTGCACATTTTTCTCGCGACCATTAGTTTCCGACATCGCCGGAAATCGTCCAAAAATTAAAACGCTGACAGGGCCAGCACGGTTGTCAGGGCAAAGGCAATGCTACGAGCCAATGGCACCAATCAAGCAGCGTCAAAAGCGCGACATGGCATTCATTATCTACCTGCACGTGCTCCTTTATCGGCTAAAGTAATCAAGCACAGCGAGGGCTAGAGTCGCGCTTTCATTATGCGTGTGTTTGTGATTGTATATGTTTAAGCCTTCGACTGTGTTCTGACCCAAGATGAAACAAACTATCCGGTACCTAGAGACGCTATATAATGCATATTTGCATCATTTTCCTTTTGTTCTACTTCTCTGAATATGAAATCAACCAATAATATAATCTTTTTTTTTTGCTTTGTTTTAATTCATTTTGGCATAGGTGTGGCACAATTCTTAGCAAAAATGGCACTTTGGCACAAGATGTAGCAGACAGATGGTGGAGCTAGTCAATGGACTGCGGCTTAGGCGATAAGAATGAAAAACAATGCTTCACAAAGCAAGATGTGCAAACATATTTAAGCCATGCCCAGCATTTCTTAGGTTGCCAGTGGCTATAGACCTTTGTGAGAACAACTAATGAGATGTGCCTTTGCCAGAACCACTCTGTACTCATAGGTAAATAAATACAAAAAAAAGGACAAGAAAAAAAATTGAGAGCTGGGAATTTTTTTTAAACATGGACAAGTGGCAGTCAATGTGGAATGATCAGTGGCTTGGACTTAGTGAGAATGGGAAAGTTCATACACGAGACCAGCGTCTGAGGGCTAATTCCGCTCCTGATCATTGTGAGGCTTGGCTACTCCAGTTTCCTGAAGATACTTACAGATGAATCCCCTGGGTGACTGCTGAATTTTCTTGTAGCAAAAAGTTCCCAAAGCGTGGGCTTCTTCGCCCAGGCACTCGACGGCCGTGTTCTTAGTTTTGTCGTAGTATTCGTAGGCACCACAGAGGTCCTCCCCTTTAGGATCGTCACTGGTGCTGCACTGGTAGCACTTGATTGCAGACACTGGATATTGGAGATAGAAGACAAAAAATATATACACTCAGTTACCTTCTGACTGGAGAACTGTTGGATTGTACCAAGGAGCATTTCTGCCACAGAGAAAAGACATACTCATATAAACCATGAATGGCTCAAACTTAGCAAAGACATATTCATACAAAAGATCCTTGGCACATAAAGCTAAGCAACTTGGCAATACAGTAACTGTAAACAAGGCTGTCCTGGCAATGGTTTCACAAGGCGATTGCACTAAGCAGAAGCGCTAAGGAATGCCTGTAAGGCCCGCCAGTCGGGTGATAATGATAATACAGTGAGATATAATGAACAGTGAGGCAGTGATAATGTACACTGAGGTACATTATCACTGTAGCATTTGATGTACAATGTACCATCGGGTTCAAATGAAATGCGAACAGTGACGGAACTTCAAGCCTACTATTGGCGCAGCTTCCAAGCTTGGGTTGTGCTTGGCAAGGTTCAAACACATTAAAGTAGGGTGCGGCGAGGTTGTGAATCCTACTCCAATGTGTTTGAACCTTGCCAAGCACAACCCAAGCTTGAAAGCTGACCCAGTAGTGGGCTTGAAGTTCCATGACTCCTTGCATTTCATTTGAACCCGATGGTACAATGAGCGAAATGCACCGACAAGCAATTGGTAACAGAGTTAAACATTAAGTTTAACCCACAGCCGAGAAATATGGTCGCTTAATTAAGTCATGGGGCAATCACGAAAGGAAACTATTTTTCATAGAGAAACCTCTGCTTCAAACAAAGGCCAAAAATTAATAATGCCCCGACTTCAGTGATGACATCACTGAAGTAACTGCTTGAGATTGGAGAAGGTAGGTAGAAAACGTTTATTGATAGCCAAGAACTACGAATAGAAAGATTATCCGCGCCGCGGTGATCCTCGGATCTGGCAGCCTCGTTCTTGCGTGATTACGGGTGATGAGGGATGACTGTGCGATGGGTCATGAGGGGTGTTTTCATATAAAGTCCCTCAGATCTGCCTCGGCTACGAAGTCCAGAGTCATAAATCAATTTGAATATCTTCCGACCTTAAAAATCAATTTAAGCTTACAAAAAAAGAACCTACCGCTTCAACGGCTAGTACCCGTAGCGCCATCTCTGTACAAATTTTGAAAATTTTACCGCCTTCGCCGCTGCGATGCTGTGCAGGACCGCCACCTGAACCGTAACTAAGCTGGCGAAACCAGTAGAAAACTGTCTCTGCAAAAACAAAAATTTAACACTTTCTGGATAACTTACAGACGTATTAAAAGGGTGGAACCAATCCGTAAACGTACACGATGTTCACACCACACCCATGTAACGGTGTAAAGCATTCAAACACGTTAGCGTGGATCATACTTAGTTTATGACAACCTCACTGCGTCTGATTACCGCGTGTCCTTCTAGAGTAGACCACATTTACACAGCTCAAATAAAAGCAATCATCCGATTTGTGGAAAACGAGCACCAAGGATTTAAAGCTCGGGTGTACGACATCACTGTAGTCAACACAAAAGCACGTTGTAAAGTACTACAAGGAATTACGAATTATAGCCACAACGTGTTTAAAAAAGTATCCAGATTCCTTCAGTTTTCAACGACATGGTCGCGCACTTTCAAAACAGCACTGGTCAGTGGTCACACCCCAAACATTCCCGTCCCCTGTACGCCGCCATCTTGCTCCAAGCAGTTGCTCCGAAGTGGCAGTCGGCTGGCGCGTTTTTCGTTCAACTCACCCTCGTAGAGGCATACAAGCAAAACGCAGGTCTTCACGAGAAGAGTGACTGGGTCCAGATCGGTCATGGTGAACACGGGTTGTCGTTTCGTGCACGACGGTCAGTGATGATATCTCAAACTCACAATGGCTCTTCCACTGGCTCTACACCACATGAACCATAGAGACATGAACAACACGAACATAGCAGAAAGATGACAAAAGTGCAAGGGCTGCTATGTAAAAGTAGGGTTTTCGTTGTTTCCCGACAGGTGGCGGAAGTTGTCCAGCTAGAAAAATAGGAGGGAGGAGTGGTAAGGGAGAATGCCCTTCTTTCCAGATTGTTGTTCTCTCTTCATTTCCTCTCTTTCCCTTCTGTCTCTCTCTCTCTCTCTCTCCCCCCCTTCTACTCCCCCCCCCCCCCCCTTCCCCCTTTTCCTCGAGTTCTTTGACCCCCTTTGGCAGGAAAGCGTAAAAAAAAAAAAAAAAATCAAAATGCCGACTGCAGCCTTGTACAGAAAGTTCATTGAAGGGACGTCTCCTGCAAACTCGAAGCGTCAGCTTTTTTGAGGTCCCTTGTTTTCCTAAGGATGGGCCCGTCTAAAAAGTCCAAATATGCGAATGAATGAAGCGTGCTGATGAGATGAAAATTAAGGTTCGCAAAATTACCGAAAAATCATAATTTGCGGAGCCGGAAGGATCGGAACCCGAGTCTTCCAACTTAGTCAAACGTTAAAAAAAAAAAAAAAAAAGTGTATTGCGAGCAGTGAACGTGCGTTTCGGCGCATTCTTTTGAGCCTGGATACGCGCACACAAAGCGAGTATCTGATTTTTCCTTTGGGCTATTTCAATAATGCTGGGACTGACTGATACAGTCGAACCGCGTTATTCCTGTTCGGTTCGGGTACGGGTTCAGTAGCTTCGCATTTTGTTCCGGTTCGGTTCCGGTTCAGGGATGCTTGCGAAATAACGGTTATGTTTCCGGTCCCACGAAGCGCGAACCGGTTCAGACCGGTTCTTAAAAACAAAAGATCCCAGATTTTAAGAAAAAGTGTATTCAACACGGCGTCTGCATAATAAAGGTCATCCGAGGGCGTGCTGCGAAATAAATATATGCTTAATTTCGTTTTGTGGTCTTGACTTTTATCGCGATCACGGTTTGATTCAAATTACGTGGTCGTACAGATGCTCGGAAACAGCACGAAAGTACAGTACTCGCATGTGAAGTTAATCAGCCAGCACACACAGTGACTGACGACATCACGCAACGTATATTCGCCAACTACCCCATTGCACGAACGGCTTGCTCGAACAACCATGTTGAAGAGGAGAAAGACAACGAAGATAATGAAAACAAAAAAGGAAGCTAAAAAATGGGCGACATGCTGTGCTTGTAAAAACGCACGCACACACACACACACACACACACACACACACACACACACACACACACACACACACACACACACACACACACACACATATATATATATATATATATATATATATATATATATATATATATATATATATATACAGGGATGGGCAGTATTTTAAATACAAGTATTTGAAATACGTATTTCAAATACTTTCTGTATTTTGCATTTGTATTTAATTACGAATTGGGTAATGTATTTGACGTGGGTATTTAAATACTAAAACGTCGGTATTTCAAATACAATTGTAATTAAATACAATTTTGTGGGCGAAAATACATCCCTCAAATTTATTGTCACGACTCATTTTGCTCATCCTAAGATGTGTCTAGAGCAGGGAGAAAACTACGTTCTGCACCGAATGCAGTGTCTCTCAATCAAGCACAAGCGTTTAGTGACTTTGTGATTACGGTGCTAGTCCAGGGCAAGAATAGTGACGAATTCGACGTTCACAGGCAGACGGGCTAAATAAGTGCCTGTGACAACTTGTGATGCTTTCCAGCCTGATTTCCATCCATATTTTTGCCTGGAACATTCTAAATGCGCGGGTTGTCCAGATTTTTGTAACTGGTCATGTAGTGCTGCGCGTCTTGGTCGTCTCGGTTCTTCGTTGGTCTATACCAAAATGTAATCGACAAAAAAAGCTGCTTGAAGCTCTGTACTTCTTTCAGCTATCACCTCTAAGCTGATTACATTTTTTTTTTTTTGATTATATTTCTATTACGTTACTAGAGTCTCGGACACTAACTCCCGAGCGTGCAATGCAAAATTAATATGAGATAGCCAGGAACCCGTTGCAGGTGCCCTGATTTCGCTGACGCAAATTTTGAGGAATGTACTTGGAAAAGTATTTGGAGGAGACCAAATACTTTTAGGTGTATTTGTATCTTGTAATTAAATGTTTTTTTGGAAATGTAATTAGATTTGTAATTAAATACATTTTTGAGGAAGTATTTTGTATTTGTATTTCGATACATATTTGCATGTATTTTGCCCATCCCTATATATATATACGCACGCGCGCACACACACGAATTCTTCAAGCAGCGTCCATGGTTCTGGGCTGCGCTGGGCGATTGGCGTCCCCGGCCGCCGCCACAGTTTCGCGCTCGTGGAAACTTCGCTAGGGTGCCTAGATGTCTGGCTGCCTCAGTGCTCTGTCTCAGGATAAATACATGTTTTGTTGCACTGAGTGGGCCAGCACGTGACGCGCTCACGCACTCAGTACGTGACTTACGCGGTAAAATGGCGTCTGAGCATTAGAGGCTATGGGCTCGAGCTGAGTCACACCGGATAGACCCGTGGCTCTCAAGTTTTGAACAGCGCTCCAGGCGAGCAAAACACAATATTAATGCAAAAGTATTACCTGTCCGATGGAGCGAACCGGCGTTATCAGCTTTTGAGGCCGCGCCAAGCGGCACCTAAATTCCTCTGTTTCGTGGAGCGAAGCCTGTCGTCTGTAGCAGCGAATTGATGGATCAACTCCCATTGGCTGACACGCGGCATAGTTCTAAGGAACGCAACCGCACAAAGCCCTCTCCATGGCACAGGTGGCCGGGAGCTGCAGAGCGGCCGCGGCTGCAGAGCCCACCCGGGCAGCTTCCGCAGAGGTTGACCGACCGGGCTCAGCACGGCGCGCAGCTTGTAGGAATACGCTACGTATACGAATGTTTTCGCATTCCTACATGTTAGCAATCTTAAATGCCTTTGTATTTTTTTTTTTTTTTTTAATTTTTGTCTCGCGTTTTGAACATGAGTCGTTACGCTCTCCCACAACAGTTTTTTTATACTCCGTTCCATTAGTGCCAGCTTTGCAGAGGCTAAGTTCACAAAGCCTGGCGGTTCCGGTAGCGGACCAAGCACACGCGCTCGTGCAGTGCGAACATCGTTCAAGGAAACATGATTTTGCAAGTAGCCTGTAACGTCCTGTGCGGTTCATTGTATGCGGCAAAGTATGGAACTGTACGCATACGAGGCGACTGGCCGACGCCAAGTCGTGCTGTACAGACGCATAAAATATATTTATATGCTTAATTATTATTGAGCTGTCTCCATCCACGTCGCGTCCGTTTGTTTAGCCAAAAGTGAGGCGCTGACGCCACCGTCGCCAATATTTAATTGACTTCGCGCCGCCACCCGCAAGAAGGCGCGGGTCACATTTTATTACGCCGAACCGTTTTCAAATGAACCGGTAACCGCCACATAGGATTACGGTTCCGTTCCGGTTCGGGTTCAATATCAAATGCTTGATTTCGGTTACGATTTTGTTCCGGTTCGGTTAAAAACAACGTTTTTGCTCTGTTATTCGGTTCAGGTTTTGGTTCAGTTCTACACCCTGGATACAACACGAAGTTTTTTTCTTTCTATATGTGCCCACTGCGTACGCGCACGCATAAAAGTTCTTTCTCCTCTAGAACATTCTGGTTTCTGTCTTTGTAATCGTAATAAAAACAAAAACTGGCAGAAAAAAAAAATTAAGCCTATCCACTCTGGTGAAGAGGAAGAGCAGCGGAGCTTTAGCTTCTGTTCTCCAGGCGAGAGATCTGCTCTTCTTTCGCAAAAGAAAATGAAGCGCTCGACGCAGTGGAACTTTAGGCGATAGCGGCCTCGCAGCGTTTGCGTAAACATTAGCGCTGCTTCGCGCATGATTCGCTCTCGCTCTTCTTCCTCCGACGAAAGGTTGCCGTCATCTATCTATGAGCGACGGCGGCCACCAGTTGTCATGGTTGCCGCCGTCGCTCATAGATGGCAGTAGCTGTCCAGAGCTCGGTGTCATCATTTCTTTGCTGGTGGAAACGATCCTGGGGAAAGCCCTTAACAGCTCCGCTGTAAAAGACAAAAATAACATAAAACACAGAAAGGCGAGAGCAGAGACGCAAAAAAGGGACGCACACACTAGCGTCTCCGGTCTCCCATTCCCTTGCGTCGGGGTTTCTTAACTATGATTGCATATCGCCAGTTCGAATAGTGACTGTCACACGAGCTGGAGGCCTCCAGGCTCCAGGGGCCACGCTGTGCCAAGCTGCTATACTACAAAATTTAACATCTGTCGGCATACCAAACCTCTTGACAATCATTTGAAGTCCAGGAGTGATTAAGCCACTAGAAAAGCTATGCTTCACGTTTACGGCACTCCAGCCGTTTTGGTTTTTAACATCATTGTTGCCAGTTATCCGAGGAATTTTTCTGAAATCGCAGGAAACGATTTTTCATCCTCTGAAAGTGTTAAGGCTGTCCACTACAGAACAAAGTTCAGCCGAGCTTCCGGACAAGACCTCCGAAGCTCAGAAAGTCTAATTTTAACGTGAAACGTTCTGTGACTATTTGGTCAGCATTTCGAGAAGCCCAAAAAGTGAAGTGACCGCGAACCTCGACGCAGATCGGTTAACGAGGGGAGAGGAGGAACGAAGGAAGCTCGACGCCGATTGGCTAACGGGAAGGTGTCACGTGGCTAGAGGTGGATGAGGAGGAGTTCAACCACCTGCGCACCGACGTAGGAAGCTCGACGCTCTAAACGGGGGGAGGGGGGGGGGGGGGAGGGGGAGGAGGTGTTTGCGTGATTGAGCGTAGGTGCAGTGACGGAGAGTAATAAGCGGTATGCAGTCATTCCAGCACGCGCTAATCTATTTCACGAAGAGCGATGTGAATATATAGGTGTTTAGCTGTGCGGAATCTCAGTGATGAGCAGCGTGAACAAAGGTGTTAGACACCCAGGGTTTGAGCACTAGAAACTAGTCCCACACTACACGGACTAACATCACCGTGCTTGCCTATAAAGTGTTGAAAGTTTCACATATGAATGAAAGTTCCCAGGAATCTGCCATATATATATATATATATATATACTGTCGAGACTCGAGACCGGAACGAAGTCAACGGGAATCGGAAATCACTTCGCTATACCCGCTATTTCGTTAAAACCGGTTTCGACAGTATATATAGGCTTTTTTTTTTATTTATATTAATTGTAGCGATTGTCGGTTGCGCCGACTCTGCACTAGCACCAAAATGGCGGCGCGCACAAGAAGCGGCAAATGCAGCGTCGATAGTCAAAGTGAAAGCGTAGCCTATTTAGTGGCTGATTATGGCCAGGCCGGGGCGACATAGTGACAAACAAAACATCGGTATAAAAATACTTCTTTATTGTCTGTCCATCCGACCGCAATGAGTCGTCGATATGAGCAAAAAAAAAAAAAAGGCTCGTGAAATATGCTAGAGAATTTCGCGTCACTGTCTTGAATCGATAGTGTGTTGAGAACACGCACTCAGCGACATGCACGCACTAATACACGGGCACGCATCAAGCGAAGAGTTTTATCGTCCGCATGCAGCGCCTCTCAGATCGCCGACAGGCGTAAGGACACTTCACATTTTTGTTTGTTTAATGTGTGCGAGTGTGTGAGGGGCGCCGTTGGACGGAGGACGTCGTTACGTCGTTTGCGCCTGCGTTATATAATACATTTAATGTTTCCTTACGCAACGACGAGGATCACTGTATATTTCAGGGATGTTCCGATGCAGGGCGTGTGAACCAATGAGTCAACATAGACTCGCACTTATGTTCTCAACTATCAGCAATTGGGGGAGCCCATCGCTGTAGTCATTATACGGAGGGGAGCTTGGTGAATGACGGGGATAATGATAATCATTATATGTGGAAACTTAAAAAAAAAAAGTGTGCGCTGTGGCATTGAGCATGACGCTTCACTGTGTTCAGTGCACACAGCGCAGACAGTTTTTTTTTTTTTTCTTTATATAGGTCTAAACATATTTTCAGTCAGGTCTTTCGCCCGAGCTCCCTCTGTCAATAGCAGCGATTGGCTCCCCAATGTGCCTTGCGGCACGGCACATGTTTCAGGTTTCTTACAGTGTAGCTGTCAGCCCGCAGTTAAAACGTCCGCGCGCTCGAGCAAAGCAATGGAGTAGGTGGAGCTATTCCCCCCACTCTTCCCCTCTTTTTCATTGTATCACAACAGTAATGATGCCGTGAAGGAAAACACGAGAGCAGCAGCAGTTCGACATCTTGTCCCTCCAGATATTTCAGACATTTCTAGAAAACGATTGAGGGGTAGGAGAGGGAAATTGCCCTCCTCCGATCTCCCGCGAACAATTCCGATAACGTGTTCTTGTACATAGTTTGCCACCTTGGTAACATCCAGAACGAGGAACCTTACGAAAAACGAGGAACCTTTACATTGAGTGTCAAATAGTGTTTTGGGCTCTGTTTTGAGAGTATACATGAGTCTAGTATCGTGCGTACCAAACGCGAGAAGTTGAAAGCACGCACGTGTATAGGTAGTTGTGGTAACGAACGGTGCAGATTTCACATCAATAACATGTGTTGCTCTCCTTGTTGAGTGCGCCCACCATGTTACAAAAATAGGGTAACCAAGAATATCGAATAAAAAAAATTATTATCCACGGATTTTTGTGTGTCGCACCATAGTGTACTTAACTGCAAACCGCAATGCAAAAAAAAGAAAAAAAAAAGAAAACGCTCGCTACGTTTACGCAAATGGGTAATCTTAAAGACACCCACAAAATGTACAACCATATTTTGCACATCTATATACTAAAAAAACAAAAAAGCTAAAATATATAATATGAACAAGGAAGCATAGAGTGTACCTTGGTAATCTGTTGATGCTTCTCGGTAAGCAGAGTTTGGTGTAAGCGGCCCTGAAATACTCATTTACGTCTCTACAAGCGATAGTCAGCCCAAAAATTGGTCACTGAGCGTGCCTATGAAGTCTCACACTCCTGCCTCTTTTTGTTAACTGTGTGCTCGTCTGTACATACTCCCACATCAAACATTCCCATTTTATGAACGAAAACACAAGCATACGCCGTTGAGAAAGGACGTTGGCGTCATGTCACCAATGATCACATACACTCTGGCACTTCAGGCATGGACGGAATACGCAAAATATAGCGTAAAAAAAAAAAAAAAAAAAAAGAAGAAAAAGACGACAATGTCGGTATGTTTCCTATGGTCTTGATGGATCAAAACTGGTTCATGCATTTCCGTTCGAGTGTGACTGCTCTCTACGAGATGGTTGCGTATGTCTGTCTCTGCCCGCATTCCTTCTGGCCACGTGACAACCCAACGCATGCGCACTTGCGGCCAATCTCTGCAGGAGGCGTCCGCCATTAAATTGAAAAAGCTCCTCACGGTTTGAACTGCTCCCTCTCTTAGATCTAGGCTCCTCTAGTCACACTCAAACGCAAATGTCTCAACCAGACGTAGGAAACTGTTCAGACGAAGACGTCTGCTCTTTTCACTTCCAAAAGTCTTTCAAAAAAGAAATGCGGCTTTGGCAATTGATGACAACGCGGGCCTGGCCCGCTAGGCGTCACCAGATGACGTCATGAGGGGGCACCACACCGCAAAGGCACCACGCACTGTAAAAGCTGTAGTTTGCTATTGCAAAAGAGATGGCAGCTTCGCGGCTTCAAAGCGTGCAGTGTAGCCAGGGCACTGTACAGAGATCAGTGGCCGGCCCAGTTCCGTCGGTGCGCGCTAGTCTCGAGTCCTGAAGAGTGTCACTACTTGAGCAGAAGGCCTCCCGCCCACGCCACCGCTAGGAGCGCTAGGAGCGGGCAGAGGAGGACCGTGGCGCCGTGCTGCGGCGCGGCGTTGCACCCGTCCTTGCTGTTGCAGGTGCAGGTCTCGACGAAGACGTCGTACGTGCCCGTCCGCATAAGGCAGTAGTTCTCGTCGTACGTGCCTTCGCCGGGGGTGCCCAGGAACGCGCAGGAGCGGATGAACCTCCAGTTTCCGTACACTGCAGCGAAAAGATAAAAGAGTTTGCGGAAACAGGTCTCAGCGGCCGTGTCATCTTGGCCAACGCCTTTGCACCGAAGAACGTTTTAGCCAACGGCAGTCGCGCTCGCATAATCGCAGCGTCCTTTCTTCTGCGAGTCTTTTTCGGCATAGCTCACACGAAGATTAAAAAAAGGTCCACCGACATTTATTAGAACACAATTCGATGAAGCGTCGTTGATGGAGCTTCATTCGAAGGAACGGATAGTTGCTTGCCTTTTACAGAACGACATGTACACACAAGAGTTTTACACCTGTAAGTATGCAAATAAGGTTGTCACAGGGCTAACACCGTAAGGGTGTTACAGCAACACCATTAGTTTGCTGGCGATCTTAGCAGCATCATATATATATATATTTTTACGGGCAACAAGTTTACACGCAAGACGCATCACATAGCTGTCACATGCACAGACACCACAAATACAGGCACAATTAAAACACGCGTCAGAAGGGAATCCTAACATATTGCCTGCTCCTCACCCGCAAGTGAGCGCCTCCACACTTACGAAGTTTTCAAGAATGTTGTTTCATTCTCGTCAATAGTTTACGCAGAGCGTAATAGTATATCTAAGTTCAAGGAATGTATCCCCCAACTAAGAATTATTCGTACAGACAATATTTATTTGATGTAGTCGCTAAGACGACCTACATTAAAGTTGATCCCGCCCAGCAACCGTAACCCCTTCAAGACCCTTTTTACGCCTTCAAAAATAAAGGTGTTCCATGCAGCAACACCCGATGTTACGCCAAAAATTGTTTTTCTTGAAATGAGCGTGCTAAAAGGGCGCAAGCCTCTCAAAGGCTCGTTTTACACCCTTAAGGGTGTAAAGGTTTTCAGTAGTAGCATGGTGTGTTTGTTTCCGTCTTATTATCACACTTGTAGATGAAAGCGCCAATATATGGCTACCAAGGCAAATGAGAAGCTTAGAGTCTCTCAACAATTCCCAGGGTACAGCAGTAAGAGCTTTCCCAGAGTGAAACACGTGCACCAACGCATCGCCGTAGTGAACTCCTGACTGTCACTGTGACATGTCCTGCTCCGACGCTCTTTTTGGTTCACTGCGTGCCGTGGTGACGGACTTTGTCACAGCCGGAGCGACACGTCAAATCGTCAAGGTGCGGATGCAGTGTTTTGTTCTCGTCCCCGTCCCCAGATAATATTACAAATGTCTTTATGATAAGGTACGCATAATGGATATCAAAGTACTTATCACTAATATACAGGAAATCGCTACAAGAATTAAAAATTCCACCTGACCGGAAGCAAGCTAAAGGTATTCCAATTCATAAATCGGGCAGCAGAGAAAGCATTTCAAACTATAGACCAATTTCACTTCCATCAACCATCAACGTGTTTTAAATTATTGGAACATGTTAACATAAGCATACAACTGCTTTCGTCGAAGAAAGCAACGTTTTAGGTGTATGCCAGCGCGGTTTTCGATCCGAATTGTCAACCGTCATTCAGTTAATTGACATCGTGCATGACATTTCCTCGGTTATAAATCGTAGAAGCCTGGTGGATGTCATCTTTTTAGACCTGTCAAAAGCGTTCGACAGGGTCTCCCACCATAAACTACTTTTCAAGTTAACGAAAATCTTAGGTGACGGACAAGTTGTAAACTTGATTAAGGACGACCTCTCTGGACGATCTCAATTCGTGGAAATTAACGGAAATAGCTCAGCTAATAAAACCGTGTGTTCCGCGGAGTACCTCAGGGTTCAGTAATTTCCCCGCTTCTCTTCCTGCTCTATATTATTGACATAACTGATAACATCGACATCAACATTAGACTCTTTGTTGACGATTGTATAATATTTTCTGAAATAACAAATTCTTTGGACCGCTTAAAATTACAAAGCGCGTTGGAGATCTCAGACTGGTGTGAAGAATTGCAGATGCTTATTAACACAGACAAAACAGTAGATGCATGTCCATAAGCAGGAAGAGAAACATAAAAAAACATAAAAACATACTTATAAGATCAACGGAAACGTTATACAAAACGTGCACGAGTTCAAGTACCTGGGTGTTTTGTTCACAAGTGATCTGGACTGGGGCACATGCACATAGACGCAGTGACCAAAAAAGCGCTAACGAAATTGTGGTGCATAAGAAGACGACAAAATACGCTTCCCGCGATACTAAACTGTTGGCCTACACGACACTTATTCGGCCTATGCTTGAATATGCCAGCCCTGTTTGGTTCCCCTCCACAAAAACTAACATACAAAAATAGGACAAAGTGCAGAAGCTCGCGGTAATGTTCATTACCAATAAGTTCGGCACGGGTGATTCATCTGAGCTGTGTAAAGTGTTCGGTGTGCAGCCATTAAAAAAAAAAGAAAAAAAAAGCTAAGCTTACGAGATTGAAACTAATTTTCCAAATAGCCGATAATTTGACTAAAATAAAAAAAATAAAAAAATCCAACTACCTTATTCCCCACGATGGAAGAGAAACCCGTTCAAACCATGGGAAATTATTCAGGGAGTTCCAATCTAAAAATAATTGCTTTAAATTTTCACTTTTTGCACTAGCAGTCCAGGAATGGAACAGTTTGCCCGGACACGTTGTTCGCGCTAATGCTCGCTAACACAGTTTATGAATAGTGTCGAAGCGCTCATGATATGAAAATACTATGTCTCATCCACTCCGTTTGTTTCGTATATTTGTTACCCTCTGTATAACTATGTTTTCTTTGTACTGTGGTTATGCATCTGTGCTTCGTACCGCCCTACAAAAATCCTCCAATGTGGATTAATAGTATTGATAAATAAGAAAAATGTAAAACGAAATAAAAAAATATTACACTATAAAAAATTACAGTGACATTTGTCTCCAAAACCCTATTATAATGAATGAAATGCAGTATTCAAAGAGCGATCGTTTAAATTTGTTGAGAATGTACCAAATATACTTTTTGGAGAGTGAAAAAGGACCTATACTTTTACAAATTTCCCCGCTAAATTTAACGAGAAAACTGACAATGCATAGGTCAGGTGACGTCAATTACCCCGCCATATCTAGCAGGAAAACTGAATTGGTGTATAGATCACGTGAGGTCTATTTTCCCGCTAAATGTAGCGGGGAAAATCAGGACGTCCAGTCCTCAAAGCCATCGACGGGCTCCCCTTCGCTTTTTTCCTTGTTTTTCTGACGTAATGAACGTGTCTTACTACTAGCGGGAAAAAGCTTGATGCAGAGGTCACTTGATATCAGCTTCGCCAAATTTAGCGTGGAAACTGAATTGATGTATAAGTTCCTGATGTCAGGTCACGTGACGGCAATTTTCCCGCTACATTTGATTGATTGATACTTATTTATTGCGTGCCCAAAAACACCATAATGGTTTTGACATTGACATTGGTGCACAGAAGTCAGATTCCTATGAAACATGCAAACATATGGAAACCACAATAGTCATATTAGAACAGTCAGCATAATAAAACAGTCGTAACAAAGTACATAAAATACACATCAGGTGTTAAAGGTAAAATAAGGCATGAAAAAAAAAATCGTGCTGGACAAGGAGGTTGCATGATGTCTGAATTATTCTGAATGTCTGAATGTTTAGTGGGGGTTACTGAATTGGAGCTAGATATCGTGACGTCAGGTCACCTTACATCAATTTTCCCGCTAAATTTAGCTGGGAAACTGAATTAGTGTAAGTTGACGTGACGTGAGGTTTCCCGCCAAATTGAGTACGGGGATTAAATTGGTATATAGGTCACACGACGCCAGGTCATGGGACCTCAATCTTCCCGCTAAATTTAGCGGCAAACGCACTGACGGACGGAGAAAATATTGGGGTTGGGGGTGTTCCGTTAAAAAGCATTTCATGCTTTCATGTGATAAGATCTTGTCAAATGATGGGACAAGGCGTGGCAACTCAGGTCAAAGCCTTTTCAACTGACCCAGGTCATCCCCTCCCCGGTCAGTCCACTCACCTTTCTGGCGCGTCTTCCGGCACATGGTGGCCTGAAGGTTCGGGTAGTGAGGCAGCTTGCGGGCCGCGCACTCGGAGATGGGCAGCGACGTGTTGTCGAACGGGTCCGCGCACCGGGGATCCGCGTGAGACTTGCATTCCCAGCACTTGATGGCCGCCCCTGGAAAAGAAATCATCATCATCATCATGGGCTCATTAGACACCTTCTGGCTGGGGGTCCTCAGGGATAGGCAGGGGGATAAGGGAGGGGGAAGCGAAGGGCGATGATGATTAGATGAACATACCGACCCCGGAGGTTCGGAGGAAGTCGGTGAGCGAAGCGTAAATGAGTTTCTGTTCCGCGTTCGTGGGCGCTGTTATGGTGAGTACACTTTACATAAAGGAGCGGGGACATAAGCTGTCGGGAGGTCTCCCGTGTTTTGCGCGTGTCCAGCGCCCTACCACACAAATTGGTGGAAAAAAAATCGCATAGGTAAGCGTGGATATAGTGGTTTCGAATTTGACTTTCCCAGCTATTATCTCCCGAGCAAGACATACCGGATCGCTCGGCTGTGGTTCGTATGTGTGCGCCTGATACTATGCTCAGAACGCGTAGCCCGGCTAGCAGCACCAGGAAGGCGATCGTTAGTATCATGGGCGTACCAACCGAGGGGGCAAGGGGGGGGGGGGGGGGGGGGGAGGGGGCGCTTGTCCCCCCACCAAGTTCTCAGGGCCGGCGGCAAGGGCAAGGCCAAGGTTTTTTGAGGAGGGGGGGTTTGCCCCCCCCCCCATCAAAAACAAGTTGGTACGCCACTGATTAGTATGGTGTATAGAACGTTGGTATAGAGGATTACAGTCGGAGAGATTGGCCGCCGCCACTAAATACGCTACGCTTCAGAGTAACGACACTTACCCATCTCTGTGTTTAAAATCATGGTTACCAGTTATCTGGAGCTTTATCGGAAATCACAGGAAACGCTTTTCCGTCCTCAACAGATCTTTAAAGAGTTCGCGACAGAGCAAAGCAATATTACATGAGCTTCCTAACACCGAATCTAATGCTGAAGAAGTCGCGCTTTTGAATCATGACGGTCGGCAGTTGCGTCTGCTCTGTACTAAATACCAAGATGGCGGCGTCTATAACAATATCGGCAATATCGGGGAACAGAGTGCCGATACTTTAAGCTTAGCTAATTTAGTGGCTCTAGCCACCGTCATGTCCGCAAAATCAAACTTTTTTTCCTTTTTTTTTTTAATAAGGAAAAGGTATTTTTTATGTTTTATTTTTGGTGGAATGGGGCAATTACCTTCGTTTGTGACGTTACACCCGTCCGTGACGTTAAATTTGTTCGCACCTGGGAGATGCCTCGACAGCGGGAGATAAAACACGTCTCGGGCCCGGGCCCGAAAGCAAAGCGTGCTAGCCGGCCCGACCCAGCCCGGGATCTCGGGTTGGCCCAGGCCGAGGCCCAGGCCCGTACAAAGCTCTAGCACGTGCACATCTCTGATCGGCGCTCAAGGGGAGAGAGCGCATGGGCTCCTGACCCATAGTTTAACTTCATTGCCACAGGAAGTCGTCCAATGTCCGCCGCAATTTAGAAACCCTTTCCGGTCGGAACTGACATAAAAATAAGAAATAAAAAAGTCACGCGTCTGGGTTAGCAAGAACTCGTTTAGTTCTTCCGCATGGGGAATTGAGGATGCGGAAGGATTTCAGTACTTCACGGCCACGCTTGCTCTGGCATTTTCAGAAAACCTTTGTTTCTCGGAATCTATAGGTATGGCAATCTCCATATGTGCGGCAGCGGTGCGCGATTAAACGAAAACAACGTTCTGATCGATCCCAGAAACCTCAAGGGTTTGTTACCGGGGGCTATGCGACCGACGCACCGTGTGGGACCGGAGCACAGCACGTGCTAGAAGCATTGTTAACCCGGGCACGTGACTGCGATGAACAGTGGTTGCGTGAGCCGACAAATGAACGCGTGACAGCTGGTCTTGGCCGTGAGTTGAGGAGGTTAGCGCTTCATGATTTTCCTCGGTGTTTGCTGTATCAGTTAATGCATTGAGCTAAAAACACGTGTCTTATAATATCAGTGATGTGATTGGCCAAAGCCATTTTGGAGCACCTTTTGGAGCAGCCAAAACAGTGTTTTGGAGCAGCAAATGTGGCCTTTGGAGCAGTCAAGACAGAGTTCTGGAGCAGCAAAAGTGGTTTTTGGAGCAGCCAGAACAGTGTTTCAAAGCTAAAAAGGTGACTTTTGGAGAATATATTCTGAGAAAAATAAATATTTGCTTTAAGTGCTGGACAAACGAAGGGCACTATGTGTTGTGTTGTGATGTGACGTGTTGGGGCGGAACTCGCTGCCTGTGTGTTTGCTGCTGAGACATTCCACAAGTAGACAGTGCTGTAGGCGTTGCCGAGCAATTCCGAAAAATAAAAAAGAACATTTGCTATTGTTTTACTGGTTCCAGACGTGGCAGATTTTTATAAAAAGTAAGCAAATATAAAACAATGGGTTGCAAGCGTCCCGGCTGGTGCCTCTCGTGCAATCATGTTCACCTGCTCGTGAGGGCAACTTCGGCAGGCTTGCAGTTACACGTGCTTCGTCACGCGAGCGGAGACAACGGCGGTTCGACCGAAACCGAAACCATGCCACTTTGCTTCGTCGCCAACTGGTTCCCAAAATAGTATGCAAAATGTAACTGTCCAGCATACGACAATAAACAGTCCAGCGGCGCGTGCTTGCCAGGCCGACAGGCGAGGTACAGGCTAAACACACAGAAAAAAAGAACCTGAGCGTATCGATGCAAGACATTGCGATCGAATCAGGGTAAAAAAGTTCTTGGAGCGCTTAAATTTGTGCAACGACTGAACTCGAGACAAACAAGCGCGGTGTGCGGGATCAGCGTGCAGACATTGCCTTCTTTGCTTTAGCTCACTTCTCGTCATCAACTTTCTTTCGCGGCAGATTTCTCACGTACTGGGGTCCCTCTCGAAAGAAAGCTTATCGAGAAAAACCTAGGTAATCAAAACTTCGCCAAGCAGTCATTGAGTTAAGGAGGAATTTTTATAGCAGCGTATGATTGAAACAAGAGCAGGAAGGTCGATGCGTTTCAGTTTAGAAAGCGCCATATCTGCAGCGACGTGGGGACGGACACATAACTCTCGCCACGCGGCATGTTTGGCACTCGGCACACTAACATCGGAGGGTGTGCACACGCACGCGTCTATCGCGAAAAAAATTTAAAAAAAAGAAAAAAAAAGATGCGAGATGAGATTTCCGAGACGACGAGAGCGCGAAACGCGAGACGACGGGAAAAATTATGCAAGACCGAATAGCAATTGATGTAGGGTACTTTGTGTCCGGCGGCGTCTTTTGTGCCACCAAGCTCACGCATGCTCAATTACGGTTTTCAGTTTAGTTTCATTTTTGAAAGGCGACCAAAATTGGTCCTTTGGCGCAGGCTTGGCGCAGATTAGCCATATTTTGGCGAAATGTAGCAGGATGTAGCAGGGTTAGCCCCTTGGCGCAGTTTGGCGCAATTGGCGCAGCAATCACATCACTGTAATATACAAGAAACAACGTTTTCACGGTGTTCTGTTTTAGATTCGGCGTACTTCTTTTTGTGTATCTGAAATGGGAATGTTCGGTCTCTTTTTGGGGAATACGCATACACATGGAAGTTTAGATGATGTGACTGAAGTCTCCATAAAATCCCTGTTTTGCATCTTTTTTTTTTTTTTTTTGTGAGCGGTTGACGTGGTTTGCATTGATATCACTTCAGATGCCATTGTGGTGGTCTTGACGCTGGACGCGTACATTTTGGAGCATACCTTGGCTAATTAGCAAATGGTGGTGCTTATGACGGTGGATTTACAGGAATGAAACCACAATTTTAAAGAGAAGGATACGGTAACTAGACGGTAGAACCTAATATCCCCCCCATCCCCACTCCACACGAACACCCCTCAGCTTTCATGTGTCATATACAAAATGTCCTCCCCCATCAAAAAAAAAAAAAAAAAAAAAAGTTTTGCAAAAATGAATTATGCGTCGCTGAACGCTCACGACCTCCGCCCAAATGTGGCGCTAGAGGTCCCAACCGGATGCCAATGTTTCAGAACTAACCGAATTATCTCATTAAAAAAATCAGAGGTGAATTTCTGAAAATTTAAATGGGAAAATGTTGTCCACTTTTGCCAGTTTTCGGTAACTGGCGCCCATACAGCTCCACGTATTCAAAAGATTAAATTTTTTTGCGGTAAAAACAACACAAAACAGCAAAACGTTTTTTTTTTTCGTTTTGTTTTTCTTTTTTTTTTAAAGAGAGGGCATTTCGTATAATGGGGCAGGTAGGAGTAAAAAAAAAAGTAAAAAGAATATAACTAAAAATAACAAAAATAAGTCTTTGCAAAAAAAAAAAATGACCGGCTTTTCTTTTTTTAAGTTGATGTAGCGTCTTTTACGTGGCGTGTCAGTTATTTCCAAATAATACGACTTCTAGAATCAGGTAGGGGTTTTATGAAAACCTCAGACTTTCTCCATGGTAGCTTCTCCGAACCCCCGTCTATCCGTTAGGTTATTCGAGCGATCTGATTGGTTTACTCCTAACGCCAGCAGTGCACGCCCCTCTGGTGCTTATAGGAAAACTGTCCCACAGCGTGAAAAAAAAAAAAAAAAAAAAAATATATATATATATATATATATATCATATACTTTAAGGATCGCGATAAAAGCAAACTATAATAACCGTTCAATATTAAAAAAAAAAAAAAAGAGGACTGAGGGACAACAAAGGAAAAACAAAACAAAAAAACTAGTCCTAAAAAAAAAACATACATTTTTAACGTTAGTAAGACGTGTCTGACGTTTGTCGCTATAGTGTGACGCGGCACCACTAACGTTTGGCGTTTCATTGTATCACATTTCACAATACGAGGTTGTAGTAAACATAACAACAAGTTGAGCTGGTCAAGTCTTTTGTGGTTGCGCTGCCGAAAAATAGTGACAGCAAGGAAACTCTCGGGCTATATTATGTCGGAAAGATTGCGGTGGCAACCGAGAACCAAATGCAGACGCCCGCAACGTCGAGGCTGCACCTGTGGATCCGTCAAGAATCGAACAATCATTTTAGTACGACGGCAAGACTGGAGAATGCAGCCTTCGGTTTCTGCCTTCGCTTGTTGGCGTTGTTTCCTCGGGTGAATGCACGAATTAGCGGCTTCTCTAGAATTGGCAAGAAAAGCCAGGTGCTTTGAGGTCTTCGTGTAGCCCGGCATTCGCGGGTTGTTGACGAATATTCATTAAAAAAAATCGTGAATAGTTTTATAAAATTGTGGAAAACTTAAAGCTGTACTCCTTGGAAGATATATCTTGCGAAGTTTTGGCAAGCTTTTTCGTGTCACCTATTCAAAAGTGTTAAAAAAATCCCGAGATGCCATGGAAAGCTCGTGATTAGCTAGCTCTTTCTAATATTAAATCGTTATGAATTAAAAAAATCGAAAGCTTAAAAAATTAATGAAAATTTGTAATTAGTCTTTCTATTAAAAAAAAAAAAACGAAAATGAAACGATATCTTTTTCTTTTCCGTTTTGCATAGTAGCGGTTTATAAAAAGAATATAAAGAGAATAGCATGAATCTTGTGCGTGTCTTGAACGGCAATACCACAAAAACACGCCCTTCCAAATTTAGTTCTTATTTCTTTATGTTTTTGCGGTTGCGGTTCCTATTATATAATAATGCCATTATATTGAGACGTTGTGTTTTGTGCCTTCTTTCTCGGGTTTCAGTATGCCTATTATATACAGGGTGTCACAAAAGAAAATTTACACGGTCTTTTTTGCCGCAAAAATAAACTAGGCATCGCAGAACGCTCATTCTCCGCCCAAAGGTAGAGCTAGAGGTCACAACCAGATGCCAAAGTTTCAGCCCGATCCGATAACTGAATCAAAAGTTATGTGATTTCCTGAAAAGTTCAATGGGAAAATGGAGCCCATTTTTGCCTGTTTTCGGTTTCTGGTGCCATAGAGCCCCATATGTTTGAAAACTCCGTCGGCCGCCATTTTCCCATTGGAATTTTCAGAAAATCACTTATAACTTTTGATTAAGTGATCGGCTCGGGCTGCAACTTTGGCACCTGGTTGTGACCTCTAGCTCTACCTTTGGGCGGAGAATGAGCGTTCTGCGATACCTAGTTCATTTTTGCGGTAAAACAGACCGTGTAAATTTTCTTTTGTGACACCCTGTACTTTTGGTTATAATATTTTTTCCCCGATATTGTGCTTTATGCTTCATTTTACCGTAGCCGGCGATGAGACCGCTAGGAAACAAAATCTCAATCTCAATTTAATCTCAATTGAAATCTCAATAAAAATTTTAATTTTATACTAAGGATATAGTATACAATGTTTCATATGACGATAGCTTCCTTTTAAAGAAAGGCCGACGTTTCTCTTTGTAAAGAGAAAGGAATCGAGTGTCACTGTTTTAAACAGAATAGCCGGTAGAACTTATGAGGCTTCTAAATGTCTCCGGAGCATAGTTTATTCCCTCTCTAAATCTTTCGAACGGAACTAAACATGTTTCGGAAATGTTATGCGTAGGGGAATGAAGTACAAACTATCATAACTTATAGTTTGATAAACGCCTGCTTCTAAACGCCAGAATACTGGTTCTGCACAACAGAAGCTACAGGAACTACTGTAGCAACATTTGTTGGGGAAAAAATTAAAGCTCATTCTCGTAAAGTCGTAAATCGGAAACAAATAAAAAAAAAAAAAAGAGAGACGATACGGATGCGACCAGAGACCTTGCGGCTGTCATTGACAGGGCGGTGAGAAATCTTAATGGAAGTCCGAGTTTCTTTTATTGTCGAAGAATTCCCGTCTTTCGTTGAACAACGACTGGACGTTCGTCTACAC